GCTGCAAGAATCAAAGAATGCTCTTACTGAAGTCTCAGAAGGAATCAAGGCACACTCCACAAGATCTATAGCAGCGATTCTCAACCAAGGGCTGCGTGCAGCCCAATTAGCAGATAGCTGTGGCCCAGCTCAGCTCTGGGCTAAAGGGCTGGCCCGCGTGGGGTGCGGGTTCCCGGCTGCCCAGTGCAGTGGGGTCCGGGCTACCCAGCTGCCTAGTCCCACAGGGTCAGGAGTCTGGGGCTGCCAGGCAGACCCACGGTCTGGGGCAGCTGCCCGGCCCTGCAAGCTTTGGGGCAGCTGCCCGTCCCCACAGGGTTGGGAGTCTGGGGCAGCCCACACGCTCCGGAGTCTGGGACTGTCGCCCAGCTCCAGGACAGCTGGCCAGCCCCATGTGACGGGGTTCCGGGGTGGGCAGCCAGCTGGCCCCACACAGGGTCCTGGGTCAGTGTCCAGAGTGCCGCTGCCCTGCCACCCAGCCCCTGCGGCCCAGATAACACATTGTGGACTGCATATGTGGCCCACAATGATAAAGAAGTTGAGAACCACTGATCTATAGCAACTTCATGGGCAAAATGAGCAAGTGCTTCCACTGCCGAGATATGCAGAGCAGACACATGGGCATCAGCTAACACCTGTATCAGACTTTGTCTTCCTCATAATCCTTCTTTGGCAGAAAGGTCTTACAGGCAGTGGCCCAGTAATAGTATTGCTTTCTGAGCAACCTCTGTGGGTGTGGGGGATTCCTCTTCTATCTCCTATGTATGAGTAATCTGTCAAATTTTAGAAAGGTAATATAACAGAAGATGCTGGTATGTAATTGCATGTTCAGCTAACAAGAATGTAATGTAAGTATAATAAAACACTGTCTTTTCTGGAAGGGAGAAGCACTGGAAATTTAATCTTGAAGCAAAGATGCAAGCGTTAATGCCTGAGCCTCAGATTTATGTAGTAAGAACTCTGGCCCTCATCAAACCAGATGTAATTGACCAAGAAGAAGAAATAGAAGATATAATTCTCAGATCAGGATTCACCATTGTTCAGGTAATATGCTGTACATAAAACAAGGTTCTGCACACTGTTGGTTTTGATTTGAAGTTTGTTTATGGTCTGATAAGCAAGATGCAAACACCACCAATTTGGTTGACTTAATGTACCGTTTCTACACACATGCACAACATACCTCATTTGAAAGCTTATGTCTACTTTAAGATGAGGTATGATGTGGTGCTGTCACCTGGTACCATTACCACAGAAATGAGGATAAACACGAACATTAACATCATCATGTTAAAAAGGCCACTATGAAATATTTGCATTCATTTGTTAGTCTAATGAATCTATGTATTATTTCAAGACATAAAATTGGATTTCTCTGTTACCTCAAAGCATCATGACAACAATCCAAAGGGTACAACAAAATCTAATACATTTGTACAGGTATGACTGAAATGTAACAGCACTGGGGACATTTCTAGTCAACATCATTATCATCCTCTTATTCATCATTGTGATCTCTGTCGAGAGGGCGTGGATTATCACAGTCTTCGTTACATAAGCAAGTACACCGTTCTGTGTTGGGAAGATTGTCCTGAGTACAGACGTCAATGATTGTGCAGCGATCCCTTCTTTTACAGGCACAGATAAGATCTTATATAAGCTCAGATGCCATTGGGCCCTTGAAGAAGCAGTTCATCATCCACCTATTTCCATCCATATTGCAATGGTGATCCAATATCTTGTTTACCTATGTGTGAAGATATCCAAATCTGTGTTTGCCAAGATGCTCTTTTGACATGTTCTTCAAACTGTCCTCACCTGGTGGGAGTTGGCCAGTTACTTGTCCGTTTTGATGGCTAGATTGAGGTACAAACAACTAATGTCTCTGGGGGGTCTCCTTTCCTTTCTTGCTCTGGTCATACAGCACTGCTACCAACTTCCATGCTGTCCATCACTTTCTCCCAGTTTGACAAGATCTCTGAAGCAGTAAGATCCCTTTGTTTTGACAGTATTAAATACAGATTTTTTTCCCCAATACCAAATAGGGATGACCGAGTCACATCCTGCTCATGTGTGTACAGCAAGAAATATGTTGCAGAAATCAGGAGTGAGTGAGTGAGTCACAAATTGCATGCACAGGGTATGAAGCAGTGCTTGTCAGTGTGCTGGTAATGGTGCCTGTTTCAATCTACATGTTATCTTTGTGTTCCAGCAAGACCCAAAATATCTGTATCAGGTGACCTAATTACTATGGCTTCTTTGACACCAAGAGATCCAAAAGCCATGTTGGCACATACATCATGCAGAAGCGTCCTTGTATCCACTTTCTCTTCAGTACTGTACAAATCTTGAGCTTCTTCACCACGTCTACTAGTGATTGACTTTGCTACTTTGCCATTGGAAAAGGCTCCAGTGAGGAGTGTTTTTGTTGGAGGTGCTCCTACCCTCTCAGTGCATTTTGAACAATATGTTCACAGAGGAGTTTTACAAGTGACTGCTTGTATGCCACATTTTGAAACTTTTTCCATGGAAGCACAGAGCATCCACCAATCACCTGGTATTTCTTGCATCCAGTCTTAGATCCTGTCCTGGCTCTCTCTGAATGAAGTTTTCACAGAGTTACAGTTGTCATATCTGTCAAAGACTTCAGTTACAGAATCAGCTTTGTCAAATCCTTTTAGGACCTGCCTCAGGTATTCAGCAGCCAATTCACTGAATGTGTGGAATTTGTCTCCAGCCATAATTTGTATGAAAACCATGTCATCTCTGATGTACACTGATTTCTTTGTTGCATGCTCTTAGCTCATGGATTTCTTCAGCTTGAGTTTCCAGATGATGCCCTAATTAAGCTTTGTCTGCTCAGAGTTCCATGAGCATACAAGAAGGACATAGACTTAGGTCCTACTGGGTGACTAAGGCTAGGTCTACATTACGGGGGGCGGGGTCGACCTAAGATACGCAACTTCAGCTACGTGAATAGCGTAGCTGAAGTTGCGTATTTTAGGTCGACTTACCTGGCTGTGAGGACGGCGGTGAGTCGACCGCTGCTGCGCCGCCGTCGACTCCACTTCCGCCTCTTGCTGTAGTGGATTTCCGGAGTCAACGGCAGAGCGATCAGGGATCGATTTTATCGCATTTTCACTAGACGCGATAAGTCGATTCCCAATAGATCGATTGCTACCCGCCGATCCGGCGGGTAGTGAAGACGTGCCCTAAGAACACTTGCCATTGAAACATCATCTCTGCATCTTGCTAAGGACAGGGCTGTGCAGAAAACAATTTCTGGACTGATAGCTGCTGTGATTCTCTCTCCCTTGTTAGTTATATTTGGTCTAGGCCATTTCAGCATCAGCGCCACCTTCTGCTCCCGCCGGTGGGTGCTCGACACCCCCCCCCCCCGTCCCCAGCCCCGCTCTGACTCCATCCCTGCCCAACCCCCTCTCACCTCTGCCCCGCCCCCATTCCAACCCCTTCCCCAAAGTCCCCGCTCCAACTGTGCCCCCTCCCTGCCCCTATTCCGACTCCTTCCCCAAATCCCTGCCCCAGCCCTGCCTCTTCCTCGCCTCCTCCCCTGAGCGCTCCACGTTCCTGCTCCTCCCCCTCCTTCCAAGCACGCTGCCAAACAGTTGTTTGGCAGCGGCAAGGCAGGAAGCACTGGGAGTTAGGTGGAAAAGCGGGGATGCAGTGCGCTCGGGAGGAGGCGGAGGAGGAGCTGGGCCCGGGGGGAGGGAA